TCTCACTAACTGATATTGTTGTTGTTAACTAAAGCTGTCCAAAAATTAAGAAAAACCACTCTCTTCTTATGACTTGAGCACAGGGCTGGGGAGGTAGGCAGTGGGGAAGGCAAAGTCTGAGCATCATAGGATCTCAGAGGGGAAGAAAACAAAGGGCATCTAAGTTGGTTCTTTATGTTTGTGGTCAAAATATATTATCTAATGAACGTGTTGAAAGGCCATGCATCTTCAGAAGAATTATTTAGAAAAGGAAACAGTTGCTCAATTCAAAGCCATCAGTTCCCGGGACACACAGACTCTGCGCGGACGGGAGACGGTCCGGTGCGAGGCAGGCATCTGGCGAGCTGTTTGGATAGGAGGGAATTATTACAAACGGTCTCTGAAGGGTTGTGGCTACTTCGGTGACATGTGTTTGTGGTTTGCAGACCACTGGACTAGCAATTTGAATTCTCATATGTAAATAAACACGTGTGAAATTTAGATAGTCATCCAATCCAGTGGGGACAGTTGTTTTGTAACGACATGTCCGCATCTATCAGGAATTCACTTTCTTGCCAGAGTTCAGTGACGCTGTAATACACAACAAGAAACTGCACAAACTATAATGTACAAAAAAAAAATTGCACAAACTGAAATGGAAGCAGCACCTTGGTTTCCACCAAACAAATAAATCCCACACTCTTTTGGGAGTTGCTTAGATGATTTGTTTTTTCCAGCCCAGAGCTTTGACATTTCTGAATCCCTAAACGCTTGCAAGCACAGAGCCGCTAGATAGATGCTCACTTAGCTAGTCCAGAACAGTGTCAGGCTCCTTGCTGCAGAATATCTTTCAAGGTGGGAAGGGAAAAATGCCGTCCCCACCCACACGTGTCCAGTTTCCTGGGAGGTAATTTAAGCGAGTTAAGGTGATGTAAGGGAAGCTTTCAAATAGGAGGGTTATCAGTATTTCACTGTGGGAAGGTGTGGGAAAATAGTTCTCACTTCACTCTGTAGGGCTGTTAAAAGGATCAAATAAAATAGACAAAGGCAAGAAAGAAGTCTTCGTCAACTGTAAATCAACATCATGTCAATGTCAGGTGTCACCATTGTTACTGTTCCTAGGGGCCTGCAACATTTGGCTGTATTCATGTTGACACATTTATAAGGGTCCACTTGTGCCAGGCTTGAATGATAAAAAATAAGGCCTGATCTACACTCTAGAGCTTCATTCAATTTAGAAAGCTGTATAATATAATGTCATGACTCAGGCAATTTAAAGATGCCACTAAAACGTCTAGACATACCAGTGGGATAGTGAGTCATACACTATGAACCATGGTGCGTACTGCGATCTCATTATGCTGCTTCTCCAAGATTTTCTTTGAAAAAGTACCAATTCTTTCAGCAACCGTGGTAGCTCTCAGCTCTAACACCATGCTATAAGAAATAGAGCCAGCATCTTAGCAAGACTTGCTTAGAGTTGACTTCCACGTCTTTCTGAGTAATTCTTCTCTCTTCCCCCCCACCCTTTGGTTCCACTGACCAATGGCAACATGTCTGGGTGGTAGGGATGGGTGAGGAAAGGTGAGGAGTGAGCAGGCGGGGGTGTGAGTAAGGGTGGAAGGCCATTGCAACCAAGGCTTGGCATAATTTTGCCACCGGAGCTGAATGTCTTCAGCAATTCAAGAAAACTCGCTCATCTCTAGTTGTCAGTCTTGGACTTGGGACTTTATTCCTACCTGTATATCTCCATAAGCATTAAATCTTAGCATCTTAAACTGGTGAATGCATCCAATGACTTGAGAAGTCATTTCTAAAGTGCATGAGAGTAAGGGTACTTAGCATTTGTGCGGAAGCAGGAGCAGCCTGGAACCAGCTCCCAGGTGACCACTGGAAGTCTGGGACATCATTAGAATTACAGTGCAATTTGAGACACAAATATCCTGTCTTTTTCAGGTCTCAGCATCTAAATAAACAGGATAGGCTTCAAACAGCAATGCCCAGAGTGTAGACATAGATCACAGAAATCCATGGAATATGGGAATTCTGGGAAGATTTAGATGTTTCCCCCTTTATTCCACCCCTACCTCTGCTGTTTGACAACTTTCCTAAACCCGGTGAGCCTCAGTTTCTTGTCTGCCTGATCACCCAAAGCCTTAGCCCTGAGCCCACTCCGTGTCCGTGTGGCCAGGAGCCCTGTGGCAGCCATGACAGCGCAGCCCGGCGCGGCAGCCTCCCCCACCCGTCTTGGCAGAGACCTCGGGCCTCGCTGCAGTGAGGAAGGAACGTTGCTGCCCTGTTCACTCCTCCTTTTCTGGGGAAGAATGAGTCAGCAAACCCCCAACAGACTGTCCAAGCGGTCGGACGTCTCATTCCTCAGCATAGCAAATTCCGGTCTTAAGTTCTGCTGCCCACAAGGCAATCTGACCCCTGGCTGGGTTGACCCTGGGCAAAGCCTGCCTTTGCAAGGCCTGTTAGTTGGGGAGGAGGCCGGCTGGCTCTGCAGCCGGGAGGGTGAGGGGACTCAGCTTCAAGGCAGGCCAGCCCTGTGTGATCAGCCAGTGGCAATGGCAGGCATATATTATCTCATTTAGTCTTCACAGCAAAACTAGGAAGCAGGCTGAAGTTATGCATTCATTCACGCATTCATTCATTCATCAAATGCTAGCGAGTGCCTGCTGTATGCCCAGCATTATTTAAAGGGCTTGACATATACCAGCACAAAGATCTCTGCTTGCATAGAGCTTACATTATAGACAGAGGGGTGAGGCTGGGGAGAGATTAAAATTTTTAATGAAAAAATTATGTTTTCTGGCCCACTTCACTTTATTCTGCACACGCTCCGGAACCATTCATCTGAGCATTCATGCAACAGTTGTTGAGGAGACGGCTATGCTCTGAGCACTCTGCTAGGCACTGGGGGTCCAAAGATGAGTGAGTCCCATATCCCCCAGATGCTCATAGCCCAGAGAGGAGCAACGGCACACAAGTACTGTGACAGAGGCAACTACTGCAGGGGGACAGGCCACACAACTCCGGTAGGCCCAGCCTCCCCACCCTCCCTCCTGCAGCCCACGCAGCTGCCTCCTCTCCTGTCCACCCCTTCTCCTGCCCATGGACACCCTCCTCTGGGCCGCCCAGTGCACCCAGCCCTTACGTGTTCCTTCACAGCCTGACCTAGGGCAAGTCTTGCTAATGTGGCAAATGGATTCACTGACTGAGTACTAGTTTTCGCTTGTTCTTTAAGATGACTTATTCACATGTTAACTGGCTTTTAATGCCTTGCAAGAAAGGGAGGCTGGTTTCACTGTGGAAATGCCCTTCTCTGAGTAGACTGGGAAGGGCAGACTGGGGAGGCCCAATCACAGGGGGCAGGCTCCTACCTACTCCCCCTCTCACTGGGGCCCACTTTGCCCCAGAACCTGCATCCTCCCTTCGAGAACAGTTCTGGCATCTGGATTGCCTTTTGCAAAAGCGCCTTTGGAGTGAAGACAATTTTTAGGGCTCAAAACAACCTCAAAGATCTTCTAGTCCCGGGAGTTTCAACTTGTGATCCAGGGGTTCTTGGCGGTGTGTCCGTGGATGGCCTTTGGGGACTTCGAGGACTTCTGGATTTCCTGCAGACTTTTGTATAAACAAGCTTAAGTGCATGTTATCCTGTGAAGACAAGGTCTACAGTTTTCAGTAGATTTTTAAAAACCTTGGAGACTCGGCCAAGGAGGCCATCACCGAAGTGACGCACTTCAGTTTCCTCAGAGAAGTAAAGTCACTTGCTAGAGCCACAGGGTTACAGCAGGGAGGGGGGACGGGAACGGGGGAGGGGAGGGGAGCGAGGAGGGGCCCCCACAGGGACTGGAACTCCAGTTTCACGTTGCCTGCACCAGCATTCCTTCCACCTCCTCCACCACATGAGACCTTTTAGGTCTTCAGTTCGAGAACGATCACAGTTGTCTCATGAACCACAGCCAGTGCTGCTCACCTGCTGCGGTATAGTAAGATCTGCCTCATAGAAGCAGTTTTAAAGAGCTGGAGGAGGCCCCTGTTCCACCACACAGCTCCAGATACCAGCTGACGTTGAGCTCTGAATTTACTACCAGGCATTGCTTTAAAAAGAAAAGTGTCACGCGTTTGGGCCTGTCTGTCCCGAGAGACGTCGTGCGCCACTTGGGCATCTGTGGAGGGATGCTGATTGCAGAGGGAGAGCGTGGCCTGCAAGGCTGTCCTTCCAAGCACCAAACTGCAGAGAGAGAAATCACTGGAGGGAGCCAGCCTTCAAATGATGACACTTCTGGATCCCTTTGCCCGACGCAGGAATGCCTGGCTTGTTGGCAGAACAAAAAACCTGGGACACGCTGTGTTATCAACACCCAATGTTAGTTATCAGGATAAATAAACATATACACACTCTCCTGGTCGATTGGAAGGCTAGGTCAGGAGATATTTGGCATCAGCCCTGGGAGAGGGAAAGGAACAAATGATCACAGGCTGGAATTCTACGTTGATCCAGAAAACAGCAACACCTTTTCTTCTGTCTATAACTATATTCCAGAGTCCGACCTATGACACGGTTGGTTTCCCGCAAAGAGGGACTGCAGGAAAACAGATTCTCAAATAGGTCCGGCAGGCTTGGATGTGAAGAGAAGTTAGCATTTATTCATTCCTCCAAGGGAAAGAGCACGGAGACAGGAGTCAGTGGGCCCCCGGTCAGAAACTGGCCCCCCTATGAAATAGATGGGTGACTTCGGGCCAGTTAGTCGCTGCCTACTCTATTGCTCTGTTTCCTTTTCTGCCCAAAGAAGGGTCCGAGAGCATTGGGTTGGATAATCTATAAGAGCCTTCTCAGTGTGAACATTCTTATAACTCAGTCATCCATTCATTCTCTTGCATAGGCTAGCTGCTGCACGCCAGGCTGGTCTGTGACAGCTCGGGTCACCTGAAGCAAGCAACATGGACCAGGACACCCCTAGGCTCCCCGCCAGCCCCAGGAGTCATGAGGGTTTGGGTTTGGCTGCCAGACTCACCAGCAGGAATACGGGCACCTCTTGCTGTAGCGACAGCAGTAAAATTGCCACTCCCGATCCAGCACGGACTCGAAGTAGCGGCTCTGGAACCCCGCCACCAGCCCGTTGTTGGAGCACGTCTGGTACCTGCGGAGAAGAGAACAAATCCTGGGAACCGAAGGACAATGACACAGAAACGGACCCCTTCCCAAGACCCTGCCTGCCAGTTACACGCTCTCACTGACCTAAATGCCTAACAATTATTCCATTTTTATGCAAATAATAAAGTCTTTGTTGTATTTGTAGAAATGACATATGCTCACCCTTAAAATCCAAATGGCCTAGAATCTTTCAACTGAAGGAAATTTGGGGAACACTGCTCCTGATATACCTCTATGAATACGCAGTTAGATGGAAGAATGAATAAATGGATGCACATAGAATTTTTCACCTAGAATTTTACTAATGCAGGATTGTACTATTCATGCCATTTTAAATAAAAGATGATGTAATTCATTTTACTTGAATTTCAGATAAACAGAAGATAAAGAGAAACACAATAAATTGGTGAACTTTGAATGGACATTTCTTCTGCTTAGGAGCGGAGCCCTTGTGGAGCACAGGAAGACCATTGGTCCTGCCCCTCCGCAGCGTGCAAAGCCCTGTGGGGTGCCATGATTTGCCCAGGACAAGCCAGTGGGAGAGCTGGGCCCACATCCCAGGCTCTCACTACTTATCTAGGAATCTTCCTACCACCCCCTGGACCTAAGCTCCACATGATCGGGGCGTGTTTTGCTTGGAATTCTATTCCCACTGTTTACCAAGGGTCCCAGCCCTGGTGGCCCTTCTTATAGAGTTGCAACAGGCCAGTTGAACTCTTCAGACTCACTCTAAGGTCCCTTTCCTTTCCTAGCTGCTTAGTGTTATTCTTCAAATACAATAATTGCTCCACTCTAGTTCACAGACCAGAAATAATTTTTACTCTTTTGTTCTGCCTGTGCCGTTGCTGGTCATCACAGCACCTGCCTCGCTCAGCGTTGGTTTAGAACCAAACAACCAAATCTTCCTCTGTTCCATCTCCAGTGCTGCTGTCTCCCGTTCCTGCCCCAACCCCACAGTCCCTCCAGGCGTGCTGTCGTTTGCTTGGATGATGAAGATGCTGTTTTTTACCTGACCACGGTGGATTCTCACCTTATGCGGAATGAGATCTTCCACTAGCCCTTCCAAAACAGGTCTCTAGCTACCTCTGTTTCTCTGCATTCCCCACCCACCCCACATCGACTTGGCCCCTCTCCTAAGTGCCAGGAGCAGGCAGTTGTCTTTATGGCCTTGCCTGACGGCTGCTGGAATACAACCCTGTTTCCCAAGAAAAGATAAGTGTCTAGAAAATGTAGTGAATAAATTAAGAATAAGGGCCCTGTTCTGACTGGTAAGAGAGACCTTGCTGACACACAAACCATAACACTACAGCAACTGGATTTCATTTATTCTTTTACATTGCTGAAAATGAACTTGTGGTTCTGAGAAAACTAGATATTAAATATGTTGTGTGTCTCTGATTGGAAATCATCTGTCCTTTTTATCCAGTGATTATTCATAATTCATGCACATATTATTCAAATATGCATTTATTTATTTATGATTCATTTATTCAACAGCTTATAGCTACCACGCTTCTGTATCACTCACTTTGCTATTGTGTGGAGAGAAGAGGTGAGAGATGGGCTCGGCTTGGTTAACTATGCAAGTTAGCTTGAATTCCCTGGTCCCAGAGCTTGTAAGAAGTTCTGTCAGACTATGGAACTCAGCTATGAGAGATTAGCAATGCGAATGAAGATGTAAACTGAGGTCTTTGGCCCTTTGATCCTGTAGCCTTCTTTGCTCTACCATTGCTCACATCCCATCAGGAGGTGAGGGCTGCCACTTTGTAAATGCCCCTGGCACACATAACCGCAATGCACTAGGGTCATGGCGGAAAGGTAGCTTTGGGGGCTGATCTTCCAGGCTGGTCTATTCTATCCTAATTTCTAGCATGGTGGGTGAGAGGTAATTTCACTATGAAGCTCTAAGAACATAAGCAAAGCCTACATGTGTCCAAAGACAGAAGGAGCAACAAGCTAGTGCTCACTATGTCTTTCTCTCTTTGCAGCATACAATGCTTCCCTCCTCTAAAATGGAGCCCTTTCCGAACTGGGCGGGGCTGTGGTTTCCTTGGAGCTGTTGTTCCACTGTTTTGGTTTGTCTTGAACACTCTGCTCCCAGCAAGGGACAGAGTTCCCATGGTGGTGAGTCCCCCTAAGCAAAAATAAATGCAGGAAGATAAGCTGGCCTGTGTCGTGGAGTACCAGCTCTGAAGGCCATCCAAGTTCCGAGAATTCCCCGCCGGCTCTCAGCCAGGCTGCCGGCCCCACGGCCCGTGTGGGAAGTGTGTGTGTCACTTTCTCATACGCCACCTCAGATAAGGCTGCCCTGTGAAGATTATTTGGACCCTACAGGCTCAGAGCCTAAGGACATACGGTGAAAGTTAGATAACCAAACATCACCCTTTTCTCCCAGCTTTGATTCGATCGATCGCCTTCGCCTTTTGGTAGAGCGAGCCTGCTTGGGAGTTTGGTAGGGTGAAATCATTCCTTCCAGAACTGGATCTTCGTAGGGGTGTGCTTTTACACCGTGGGGAGCAGATGGCAGAGTGGGTAAGAGCCTGGGCGATGCCACTGGACTGGTGTTCCCCTGCCCTTAGCCCTGTCACCCTGGGCAGGCTTCATCTCCTCTAATGGCCTCAGTTTCTTCATCTACACAATGGGCCTAATAATAGCACATACTTATTAAAGATATTGTAAAGACCAAACAAGACGACACACATAAAATTCTTAGGATAGTCTTTTAATGCCTAACAGATTGCTTGTTGCTGTCCTTATCCTTTCATTTAGTCTAGGTGTCCTCAAACTTTTTAAACAGGGGGCCAGTTCACTGTCCCTCAGACCGTTGGAGGGCCTGACTACAGTTTTTAAAAAAACTATGAACAAATTCCTATGCACACTGCACGTATCTTATTTCGAAGTAAAAAAACAAAGGGACAGAAACACCCACATGTGGCCCAGGGGCCATAGTTTGAGGACGCCTGATTCAGTCTATGCAGTGACTGTGAGCATGTTTTGTGAAAGCTGCCCCGAGGCTCCCCTGTCTCCAGCCAGTGAAAGGACATTCCTGTGCACCCCCTGACCTGCCGCCTCCCTAAAGCAAAGCTCGCTGAGGTCGGGTATCTCGGCCCCCCGCCTTGTAGCACAGGTAGAGTCTAGCGCGTCTCAGCACCCCTGGTAGGTGGTGAAGTCCTTGAGGGAAGACGGTCACTTAATCTCCATTTCGTGTCCCCCACAGGGCTGGCACTGCTGTCCAGCAAACGTGTAACGGGGGAACGCACGCACCAGCGACCGCCCAGCTACCCCCATTCTCAGAGGCAGAATGGACTTCTCAGAGCCCGTCGCTCCAATCCACGAGGGGCCCTGAAACTCCCTCCATGTAGTTTCCACGGGACTCGGGTCATCGATCCGTCTGCCCACTTCCACCTTCCCCCTCAGGAACATGGCCGCTCCATGAGGAGAGTGAAAAACGAACATATCTTTGGGCATTCCTCTCCTCAATTTCTCTCCTTTTCCATCACCTTTTTAAAAAGCTTCTTGTTTAACGAGACTCACCTGAGTCTCGTTAAATTGGCGACAGCCGCAGGAGCCAGGCAAGAGAGCAGAGAGGCAGCCTCTGAAAGGGAGCTAGAAGAACCTGCATTGCTAAAGTCACTCAAATACAAGTTAAAAAGGGATGGTTAGTGGTCCAAAGCCGTGCCCGAGGCTCTGACTCACTTTGCAGCGGCTGGCTGTCACTCCTCAATGGTCTACGGAACAGAGTGTTGGCCCAGGGCAGCATGACCCCGGCTGAGACATCAGTACAGACACTGCGGGAACCTTCCCTTAGAACATGAGGTGCCAGCGCCCTGCTCCAGAGACCCTCTCCTTTCCATCTGAGGAGACATACTTTTTTATCACTCTCTCTTTGAAGGCTGAGGCTCAATTTCAATTCCACAAACTGGAGCATTGTTGGCCCTGCTCCACTTGACACTAGAAACTTTCTAGAAGGAAAAATCACAAGGCAGTTACTCCTCCTCTGATAACAACAGTTATGAATCTTTTCTGTGAAAGTTTCCTTTCTGGAAAGGATTTGTCTCAGGGCCAGCACTCTGGAAGCAAATACAGAAACCCTTCTCCTGTATCTGCCACGGCAAAACACAGAAACAACAGGACACAGGGGAAAGAGCCCCGGCTGAAGAATTGGCAGACACGAGTTCGAGTCTTAGCCCTGACCTTAACATGCTTTGTGCAGCCTTGCCTAGGTCCTGAGGATTGGTGCGGATTCAGTGAAAGGACGCCTGCAACACTCTCGGCCAAGGTAGTACCAGGAAGAGCCGGGACTCAAACTCAGATTCAGTTGGGGCCAAAGCTTATGTCCATGAGCTCTTGGGGAGCACAGAAGTCTCCTTGAGACTGTCCTTCAGCTCTGATCAGTGCTCCAGCCGGGCTTCCTCCCTGTGGTCTATTCATCAAGTCCAAAGCTGCCGGACAGGCAGGATGACGGAGGCCAGGACTGGAGGGCGTGTGAGTGCCTGGTTCTGTCTGTGAACTTTATGGAGTTTTAGTCTCCCCTTCTGGTCCCTGCTGGTCTCAGTCCGAACTTACAGAAAGTCCAAACTCTGAGCGAGTTGGGATTGAGTCAGGTGTAGACCAGAGTAAAGGGAAGCAGAGCCGTCTCTGTCAAGGGCTCCCCAGATTCCATCAAATGCATACTAGATGGGCTGGCTGTGCAGGTCTTTTTCTTCCCAGCTCCACAAACACACAGTTGTATTTCAGGGGCTCTTATCAGCCTCCAGCTCCACTGCAGATGAACCAAGAGAGCTTTTGCCCATAGTCCAGAGTGGCGGCTAACTCCATGTGGCAGAGCCTCCTTATTCCCTAAATTTACTACCCTTCTCCAAACATCCAAACATGGATGAGGCCTTACATTGTACCAAGATTTTCATTCTTTTAGAATAAAGCATTGACTTTTTCTTTTCTTTTCTTTTCTTTTTTTTACACAGTCTCACTCTGTCACCCAGGCTA